TCTCTGTCCATGAGTTTCAGTTTTATATCCCACATATGAGTAAAATCATGATTCTTAGCTTTTTCTGATGGACTTATTTCACTCAGCATAATATTCTCAAGGTCCACCTATGTTGTCCCAAATGGCAGTACTTCATCTTTTCTTATGGCTGAGTAGTATTCCATTTTTTATATATATATATATATATATATATATATATATATATATATATATATATATATATATATATATATATATATTTACCACATCTTCTTTATCCATTCCTCTATTAAAGGACACTTTGTCTACATGTTTTGGTCACCATGAAAAACGCTGCAATGAACACGGGGTGCATATCTTTGCAAATACATGTTTTTGAGTTTTTCAGGTAGATACCCAGGAAAGGGACTGTTATATGATAACTCCATTCTTAATTTCTTGAGGAACCACCAGACTGTTTTTCCATAGTGGCTACATTCCCACCAGCAGTGAATGAGGGTTTCCTTTCTCCACAACCTCTCCAACACTTATTACCTGTCTTGTTGGTAATAGCCATTCTAACAGGTGTGAGGTGGTATCTCATTGTAGTTTTGATTTGCATTTCCCGGCCTAATAGCTAGTGAAGTTGAACATTCTTTTCATATATCTGTTGACCGTCTGTATGTCTTCTTGAGAGGTGTCTGTTCAGATCCCCTGCCCATTCTTTAATTGGATTTTGTTTGGTGATGAATTTTATGAGTTCTTTATATATTTTGGATATTAAACTTTTGCTGGAGCTGTTTGCAAATATCATCTCCCATTAGGTCAGTTGCCTTTTTGGTTTTGGTTTCTTTAAATGTGCAGAAGCTTTTGTTGATATAGTCCCATTCATTTATTTTTGCCTTTACTTCCCTTGTCTTGGAATCAAATTCACAAAATGTTCTCTATGACCAAGGTCCATAAGTTTAGTACCTATGTTTTCTTTTTTCTAACTTATTGTTTCAGATCTAGTTCTTTGATCCATTTTGAATTAATTTTTGTACAATGGGGACAAACTGTAGTCTAGTAGTCTAGTTACATTATTTTGCATGTGGCTTTCCAATTTTCCAAGTAGCATTTATTGAAGAGGTTTTCTTTTCTCCATTTATGTTTTTGGCTCCTTTGTCGAAAATTATCTGCCCATATACATGTGGTTTAATTTCTGGGCTCTCAAATCTGTTCCATTGATCTGTGGGGTTTCCGGCCAGTACCATGCTGTTTTATCATTGCTCTGTAGTAAAATTTGAAGTCAGGTAGTGTGATATATATCCAGCCCTGTTCTTTTTTCTCAGGATCGCTTTGGCTGTTCAAGGTCTTTTGTAGTTCCATACAAATCTGATTTTTTTGTTCTATTTCTTTTTAAAAAATGATATTGAGCCGTAACCGGTTTGGCTCAGTGGATCGAGCGTCGGCCTGCGGACTGAAAGGTCCCAGGTTTGATTCCGGTCAAGGGCATGTACCTTGGTTGCGGACACATCCCCAGTGGGGGGTGTGCAGGAGGCAGCTGATCGATGTTTCTCATCGATGTTTCTGACTCTCTATCCCTCTCCCTTCCTCTCTGTAAAAAATCAATAAAATATATTTTTTTAAAAATGACATTGAAATTTTGATGGGGATTACATTAAATCTGTATATTGCTTTAGATAAGTAATATGGCCATTTTAACTATGTTAATTTTTCTCATCCATGAACATAGAATATCTTTCATTTCATTCTTTTTCAATATATTTTAATGTTTTGTAGTTTTCAGTACATAGGTCTTTCCCAACCTTTGTTATATAATGTCTTAAAAGTCTGTGTTATTCCTCTTTTACAAGTTGTTTTGGCTGTTAGAGATCATTTGCATTTCCATATGAGTATTAGAATCAGGTTGTCAATTTACAAAAAGCATTTTGGGGCTTTTTATTGGAATTGTTTTGAGTCTATTTATCAATTTAAGAAGAATTCTTAATACTGAGTTTCTCGACTCATGAACATTGTACAACTCTCCATTTATATAGGTTTACCTTCTCTCAGCAGTGTTTTAGTTTTCAGGTTTGTACACTTTGTACAGGTTTGTACATTTTGTCAGATTTATCCCTAAGTAGTTATTTTTATGCCATTTTAACAGTATTTTTATAGAAAAACAATTTATTTTATATATTTATCTTGTATGCAGCAACTTTGCTAAATTCACTTATTGTAGCAGATGTAAACTACCTATCTTTCCATTTCAAAGTACAGTTTGATTCTGTCACAACCTGATGGTCTTTGGGTATTTACCATACCCCATTAGTCATCATCATAATCCTAGGAAATCAAAATGACAAATTTATCATCAGTTCTCCTGAGCATATACTTTCTTGATGGCAAGATCAGTTCCAAATGGGCCATGCTTTTAATAATTGTGTTTTTAGAGAGGAAAATATTTAATTTGATTCATCCACTGATTAGCAGCTATCAGCATAATTTTAGAACCAGGAGAAATGCAGAATTTTAGGCCTCACTCTGGACCTACTAAACCATAATCTGCATTTTAACACATTCCTCAGATAATTAGTTTATATGCATATTAAAGTTTGAGTAGCATTGTTTCCTATTGACAAAAAGTATCATGTAGATCCTTTACTTCTGGATAGACCTGAAACCCTAGCTTTGTCCATAATTACAGAAAGGAGTTCAAGCCATTTTCCTATGTGAAGAACATTACAGCTATTCTGACCATTGCTAGATTGTTTCAAGAAAGAATAGATTTATGTGTTTGTCTTTTTACAGAATCTATTGATCTATTATCAGAATTGAGAAGGAAGCTATATGACCCAAATAGAGATCTAAGATAAATAGTACTTTAATCACAATTTCATTCCCAAGAACCTGGGGAGTACTCTGGTTTTTCTTGTCACCATTACACTTTATTCATTCACCTTCATAACCACATCCAATACCTTATTACCCTAATTGCCCCTCCAAATTCTTTCTGACCACAATCAGCCACCTCTTCAGTTCTCTCATTCTAATAATTCCCACCACACCTGTTCTTTGAATTTACCAGGATTGCTGGTCAGTCTCCTTCCTTTCCTCTCATCTCTCTGTTTTCACCTTCTTCCCTACCTAGCTACTCTACTCTCATGCCAATATTGTCTACTTCCTTGCCTACAAGTCCAAACACAGATCATTCTGTCAGTTTTCTCTGTTCCTATATTAATTGCCTTAACGACCTAAAAGTAAAAAGCAAAACTAAAATTCAGAAGAAAACAGAGATGGTTATCTTTATGACATTGAGGATTTCTCAAGACACAAAAAGCACTAAACCAACCATGAAGGTGAATAGGCAACACAGAATAGGAAAAACCCAAGTGGCCAATAAATACAGAGAAAGATCACCAACCTCAATAACAATCAGAGAGCTACAAATTAAAAAAATATCAAAATACCATTTAAAACCCATCAGATTGGCTATATGGTCCAATAACATCAAATACTGGCAAGGATATGGGGCAAGAGAGAGACTCATATATTGTTGGTGGGAAACTCAATTGGTACAAGCACTTTACTGAACAATTTTGTAATACCAGTTACAACTGAAATGTATCTCACTTTCCAACAGTTCTACTTGTAGTGATGTCCTAGAGAAGGCTTCACACATTCCCAAAAATATTTTTCCCAGTGCTATTTTAGTGAAAGGTGAGAAAAATCTAACTGTACTTCAGAAAGGAAAAAGCTGTAGCTGTGATCTTTTATTTCCTTAAAAAAAGGCAAAACCAAAGCAAATCTGACATAAAGAAAACAAAATGTTATTATTTGTTCAACCTACTGGTGGGGACTCAGTTATATATTATTGCTTATACTTATTTATCTTAAATACTACATACATTTAAAAATTAAGTGTGTGCCGAAACCGGTTTGGCTCAGTGGATAGAGCGTCGGTCTGCGGACTGAGGGGTCCCAGGTTCGATTCCGGTCAAGGGCATGTACCTGGGTTGCTGGCACATCCCCAGTGGGGGGTGTGCAGGAGGCAGCTGATCGATGTTTCTCTCTCATCGATGTTTCTAACTCTCTATCTCTCTCCCTTCCTCTCTGTAAAAAATCAATAAAATATATTAAAAAAAAAAAAAAAAAAAAAAAAATAAATAAAAATTAAGTGTGACACAGAAAGCAATATTGTCCTTAACATTTACAGCAAGTTAGTAATTATTTTAAGTATCATTATCCAATTGACCTCAATTCACACAAACATTAGTACTGATGCTGTTTACAAATAATTCTTTGTAACCTACCACTGAGTAAAATTCAAAGCTGTTATTTCTTCTATACTGGAAATTATCCTATAAATTACTGAACCCTGTAATGTTGACTCAAAATCAGGGAGTGAAAAGGCAACAAAATGGACTGCTTTCTAGATCTACCGTAATCTCAATAGCTATTAACTTTTAATGTCCTTATCTTTAAGTACTTCTACCATAACAGACATATAAACACCAAGACACCCGAAACTCTTTGGGGAAAATAAAGGGAGGCTCATGTAATCCTGAAGCTTGTCCTGCCTTTCTGTTCCAGACCACCACCCTTCCCATGGACTCCAGGTTAAGAGTCTCTTTTAGATGCTATCAAGTTAGTAATCATAGTAAACATTTATAAACAACCTACTTTTTTTCAACATTGTTCCTAAGGACTTTACATTTATTATCTCCCTTCATCTTCATAAATACTCTCTTAGGTCAAAGGAGTTTATGTCTATTAACTCACTTTATCCTTTTAAGTACTTTTAGGTCCATAGCATTCTTATTCCTATTTTTCAGATAACCAAACTGAGGCATACAGAGGGTAAGTAATTTGCTTAGTTAATTAGCTAGTATGTGGTGAAGCCAAGATTAAAATTCAGTTAGGCTCCAGGGCATGCACACTTAATCAAGAACCTGTGTGCCTAATTGATGGACAGTCAATTAGAAAAGGTTTCGCTTGAAGGTTATAAACAAACATTTAAAAAATGAGATTGAAAGAAAAAAAAGGATAGACGCAGGGTCTCCAAAGCATTTTTTATCTTTTATTCCTTGCCAAACATAAAAAAAAAACCCAACAAACTACTGTGATATTCTATTGCTTGCTTTGAAAATTAATTTTATTTTGCATTGCTCATGCCTTTAAGATGAAGCTTTCTTTGTAATATAACAATCAGTGCACTCTTTCTTTTGACTTCTTTATTAAGTTGGTTGCATAAAAGATATGTTCTCATACTGACAATTCTTGTCATGAATAAAATCAACAAAAATAAGGCAGTAGCAAGACATGCTTCACAAATAAACAATCAAGTGGTAAGAATACAAAATCTGGCCTGTACAACAAAAAGATTAGGAAGCAAAATGTGAATAAGCCCTGGAATCAAAATATACCTAAAGACACAAAAAGCACAATCCATGAAGATAAATAGGCAATACAGAATAGGGGAAACCTAAGGGGCCATTAAATACAAAGAAAGATCACCAACCTCAATAGCAATCAGAGAAATACAAATTAAAAACATCAAAGATTCCTTGTTTATGATGCATAATTTCTTTATCAACCATTTGTGAAATAAGAATGAATGTTAAGAAATATGAAACCCGAATTGCATTTATTTTACAATATCAATGCTAAATTCAATAACAACTTCATTGAATCTAAATATTAAAGGTTTCAAAAATAAAAGGCAATCTTAATTTTTTTAACCATATGAATAGGGTCTGCCAAAAAAAGTGCATTATTTTATTCTACTTGCAAGAATAGGTCTCAACCTGCAGTTAAGTGGCATGAGCAACAAAGGACAACAAATATCACTAAGAGTAATGCCCATACATATAAAAATATCTAGTTGAACCATGTTCTTTCTGCTTATATAGCAAGTCTATTAAACAATCAGCATAATGGAAGCTTACATCTTATGAGACAGAATTATTAATTTAACACACACCTATTAAAAATTTTCAACCCCACTCCCAAAACATTTTAGCACACCTATTAAGTACTGTAGGTCATTTAGAAAAACAAATAAAACATACACCCAGTCTTTGCAATTAAAAATTTTCCATACATATAAACAATGTCCAGATATAAATTCTCAACTAAATATGTTTTTTTCTAAATATGATTTATGTAATCAAGGCTTTCTTAAAGATAGGTCTTAGGTATATGATCTGTACAAACTGACAGTAGTGTATATTCCAAATAGATTTTTCTTTCTATTATGATATGACAATATAACGCTTTTCTGAGTGAAGATATATGTTAAGCTTAAGGTGTAAACACTCTGGAAGGCAAACAAGTTAGTGAAGAAATTAATGTTCATTTAAAATGTGTATCATCTCATAATAGGCCCTGAATTTTCAAATTTACATGTACGAATACATTTACATCTTAAATTTCTGGGAAAGGTACAGGCTTTGTGTAAAAAAGCAGCAAAATTTTAAACCCACCAATTTATTGAAAAAGCCATTACTTTTATTAGAAACACATAATGCTTCTCAAGATGTTGACAACAGGTCATAGTATAGACGTATATTTTATACAGTGTACTTCTCCCTTAAATTATATTCCAGTAGGTGGAATACCTCCTTGGGTATTAGAAGCAGAAGTATTTGATGGACTGTGTAAGTTGGTCTCCTTGTACACAAACCATGCATTTCCTCCCCAAAGTATCATATTCAGAAAGCCAAAGATCTAAGAAAGAGAAAAATAAACATGAAGATCTAATATCTACTTAAATATTCATACCCATCTTAGTTTTCCTTAAATACTTAACATTTCCAGGCAGTATACCATTTCATTTGAAGTTTAAACTACATATGACATGGAATAAAAAATGCTTTATATTTAAACACCAAATTCGAATATATAATGACTTATTCCCAATGAAAAAAGCTAAATCTCTAAGTTTGTAACATATAAAACCATGACTAAAAATAATCTTATTTTTGCATGCTCACTACTATAAAAAATAGGATTAAATTTGAGAGCGTAACTAAATCCCTCCTTTAAGTTGCCTTGTGTATTTTTTCCTACTTCCCTACTTTATACCCCCTACTACCTACCATCTTTCCTACTCCAACAATAGGTAGAAGAGAAAAGGAGTCAGAAGAACTTTATTTCACATCTTACATTAGTCTCTGGTATAAATTTGGTAAGAAGACTCAAAGATGAATAAACTGAAGCTGCCCTATTTTCACATTTTTTCCCTAAATTCAAGAAATATAAATATGTTCCTATATTTATAAAAAGAATATGAAGTAAGAGTGGGATAAGAAGCTTGAGAGTACTATCATATTACTGAAGGCAAAGCTTTATACCTTTTTGTATATTTGCATACAAAAACATTTCTGAAACTGTCCATTTCAGATATTATCAATCGATGTAAGTGCAAAAAAGGTGACTTTTCGATTACAAAGTTATAAAGCAAAAATGTGGCCAAATTGCTTTATAAGGCAGTGCTAACTTCATCCAACACTTCCTTAAAAAGACACGAAGACGTTCCTAAACATAATATACTCCATATAACATTATATTTAATTATATATTGATCTGAATTTTGGTAAAATAGAGGACTGAAGAATATGTACATTTATGTAGACTTAATTTTTTAGGTTATTTATTAAGCCAGAAAAGTATTACTTTCATACTCAGAGCAAGTAAGATTAGAGAACGAGTTATAAAGTCAGATCTAGTTCAAACCTTGGTTTGCCAACTTGGGTGAACTAACAGGAGCTACATTTTTCCCAGTTGTACAGTGGAGATAATAGTGCCACCTCCCACAGTCCCTTAGGTTGTTGGATCACGTAAGATATGAGTGCAATGCCCTTAGTGTAACACCTGACATATTGACTGAATAAATGCTAGTGACTATTATAAATACCTATCAGGTAAAAGTCTTGCCTAGTCAATTTTAATGATAAAAAAGACTCAATTGTGATCTTGTTCAAACCCATTTTCTAACTTTTCTAACAAACTTTTCTTTGTTGTTATAAAGGTAAAGATTATATGGTAACCAGGATTCTGACAGTTTACTAAAAATAAAACCCAACACATCTAGAAATTATTAAAAGCTATTGTTTTCTTAAATTATTAGGTAAGGTTTTTCAAATAAGCGAAATGAAATATCTTATAAATACTGCATACATACCACGGATACATTTAGGGATCCCATACTAGTCACAGAGCCAAAATAACACTTCAATTCTGAAGAATGACAGGGTGCAAGTTCCTGGACAATACTGTGACTGGTAGCTGTTTTAATATCTGTAAGAGCTTTAGCCCAGGCTGAAGTGCTCACCAGCCACAAAAATGTGACAACAAGAGTAACAACAAAGTCCTAAAGTAAAAAGAAGTATGAATTAATAATGAACAGTAAATTTAAAAATACTAAATTTAAATCCATAATGAAGGAATTGAGATTACATCGAATCCCATGGTACTGAGAAATGGCCTTCATGTACACTTTATAAAAAAGGGCACAGTCAACATAATAAACATTGCTGTTTATTATTACTAGCCCAAAGCCTGAGCAACAACACTAAATAAGACTCAATCATCTCTTTAGCAGTGAAAGATATTTACATTAGAAATCAAGGTTTGGCCGAAACCGGTTTGGCTCAGTGGATAGAGCGTCGGCCTGCGGACTGAAGGGTCCCAGGTTCGATTCCGGTCAGGGGCATGTACCTGGGTTGCGGGCATATCCCCAGTGGGAGATGTGCAGATGGCAGCTGATCGGTGTTTCTCTCTCATCGATGTTTCTAACTCTCTATCTCTCTCCCTTCCTCTCTGTAAAAAATCAATAAAATATAAAAAAAAAAAAAAATCAAGGTTTGCCCTAGCCAGTTTGGCTCAGTGGATGGAGGGTCGGCCTGCGGACTGAAGGGTCCCAGGTTCGATTCCAGTCTGGGGCATGTACCTTGGTTGCGGGCATATCCCCAGCGGGGGGTGTGCAGGAGGCAGCTGATCGGTATTTCTCTCTCATCGATGTTTCTCACTCTCTATCCCTCTCCCTTCCTTTCTGTGGAAAATCAATAAAATATATTAAAAAAAAAAAAGAAATCAAGGTTTTACATAGCCCTTACCACAAACATACCTAAGCCACTCACTCCCAGGATCATATCTTAGACCGTTATTACCAATAATTGTATCCCTTCAAATTCTCTATTTTAAACAGTCCACTCCCCACTAGCACTTCTCTTTCCAGCTACCTCTCTCTGGCACTGCACCTTAAAAACATCCCCCATGGAGACCTACAATCTGATCTTAGCACTTGTTTATTGTCTCTTAACCTCATTTATGCTCTAATTTCCCTCCTTAATTTATATTCTAAGGTCCTTCAATATAATCCCTTGCATATACACTTTAACTCCCTTACTCTTCGTCTGCTTTATCAGATTGTTCTGACAAAACTAACTTTAAATCTAATTCTCCATGATATGCAAAATCGAATGGTGAAAAGCCTTATCAGGAAGACTACTCTTTTAAAATTCATGATCATGAAATTTTCAGAATGCTCATTATAATAATAAAAGAACAAGAAAGAAATCTCTCTGAAAATATCTTATCCTAGTAATTTTCTAAAGTCTTTGCTAGTTATTATATTTCTAAAATCAGAACTGAAGTTTTTAATATTTTGGATAGTTTCTTCTCGAACTAATAAGATGAAGAAAGGAAAAGAAACATCTACTCTTACTCAATCTTTTCTGCTGGGAAACTAAAATTTGTCAATTAGTATTGTTATAAAGATCTAAATAACACTTTTTAAAAATATGCATTTGTGTAATATAAAATATAAGTCCCATTTTTTTAGTCTTCCTTTAAATTAAAGACCAAAGTGGGAATAATGTAAAATTTGTATCTTTTGATGTTATGTATTAGGGTATACTCAAGGCTACTAGTATGAGTTTGTACACAGCCGCAGCAAAACTCCAAGCTCAGGAATGGATTCTGGAGCTTATCCCAGAAGTGTTTTGTTTTAAAAATGAATCTGATTAGTTTTTAATTACTTTTGCCAGCCAGCTCTTAGTTATTTATTTAGGATAAACACCAGTAACTCTTACGAAATACAGAAATTATGTTACATGTAGCTTGTCCACTTGGTCAAAATGACATTGAATAAATATCTTGTGATTAGAGAACCCAAAACAATACGACTAATTTTACAAACATGGAGGTATTTACATTTTGTATCTGAGCTTTCTACTGTTACTGATCCTTTTAATAAATGTAGATCAAAGAGAAAAGGACAGAAACTTTATAGCTTAAATTTTTGCACTGAGGGAGTTCCTTTTTGCTGCAGGTAGACATTTCCTAAACCCTTGCTAGAAATACAATGACTTTTGGAGAACTGAGAAGTAGTATGTATGAGGTTATCACATGTTTAAAAAGTAATCTCTGGGCTCAAGTTCACAGCTTTGACCAATATATACATCAAATCCTCTTAATTTTTAGGTTTTTTCCCTCCAAATTAAACAACAAGCTGGTTTTTCCCTTTCATGATTATGTTCTTTAAATCTACTTGGCTGATGGCTTAAGACATGACATTCTTATACTTCAAAAACTTTTCTGAAAATGATGCACTGAGTAACCCTAGGATGAGGAGGAAATGTGGGTCTCTGAAGATAGATTTTGTCCTGCTCAGGATTCTAGTTAGGACAATGCACCATGCATACCTGGAGTTCTGCAGCAGTTCACACTGCAGCTGCCTATGGCAGTCCTAGTCCTACCAATCAACAGGATATGATTTATAAGAGATTTTTAGGATCTGGGACACCCTATATTTGTTTGGTTTTATTTTATGGTATTTCTGATTCTCCACATGGCCTAGAACCCTTAAGTTCCTGCTACTTAACACAAAAAAGTAGTACATTTACTTAAAAAGGGAACTATAATCCTATATAATAAAAGGCCAGCAACCATAATGGCATAACGACCAGAATGACCGATCAGCTAGTCGCTATAAGGTGTATTGACCACCTCTCGGTCCCTCCCCGCAGCCCACAGGTTCCAATCACTGGGTGGCCAATGGGGAACCACGGGGAACCAGAGTGAATGACGACTGGGCAGGACTGGAAACTGGCAATCAGGCGGAAAATGGCCCTGATTGCAGGCTAGGCCTAGGGACCCTACCCATGCACAATTTCGTGCACTGGGCCTCTAGTGGATTTAATGTCACAATTGAAATGTTCCTAGAAATACCTTAGCAGAGGATTGCTAAAATAAAAGAATGTCATCATTAACAAAGTACTTTAAAATAAAAAACCAATGTCATATTTGGCTATATTTAAAAATTTGGGTATCTCGAGAAAACTTTTTTACATATGTTTAAATTAAAATTAGAATTCAAGCCCTAGCTGGTTTAGCTCAGTGGAAAGAGCGTCCGCCTGCGGACTGAAGGGTCCCAGGTTTGATTCTGGTCAAGGACACATGCCTGGGTTGCAGGCTTGATCTCCAGTAGGGGATGTGCAGGAGGCAGCCAATCGATGATTCTCCCTCATCATTGATGTTTCTATCTCTCTTTCCCTCTCCCTTTCTCTCTGAAATCAATAAAGATATATATTTAAAAAATAAAATAAAATAAAAGTAGAACTCAAAATTTAATTTAGAAGCTGGACTTTTACTACAAAAAGCATCTATTATGTGCTATATCAACAAAAAAAACACTTAAGTAATTAATTCTGAATTATCTCTCTATATGACCACTAATTGATCACTGAGGTGAAAAATTACTTTTAACTTTCTGATTGATGCAACTAGATCAGTTTTACTAGACAGAAGAACCTTCCACAAAAAAAACTAGATTTGGCCCAGCCGGCATGGTTCAGAGGTTGAGTATTGACCTATGAACAAGGTCATGGTTGGTTCCCTGGTCAAGGCATATGCCTGGATTGCAGGCTTGGTCCTCAGTGTGGGGCATCCAAGAGGCAGCTGATCAATGATTCTCTCTCATCATGATGTTTCTATCTCTCTCACCCTCTCCCTTCCTCTCTGAAATCAATAAACATTTTTTGAAAAAAGAAAAAAACTAGATTTGAATGTTGCTTTTAAAAGTGTGGTCACTTTAAAGCTTATTAAACAAAATATGAGAAATGAAAGGCTCACTGCTAAATTTAACTTAAAAATTTGTTGGGATAATGACAACATGGCAAGAAATGTCTTCATTTAAATATAAGTTATAAAGAATTTTAACAAAATATAATATCTGATCATTATAGTTTTATAGCTGCCAAACATGTAATTTCTGTTGATTAAGGATTACAAATAGTTGATGTCTATCTTTCTGGAAGGCACCTAACAATAAAGAAATGTTTTATGAAAATGTAAGGTTTAAGAATCTCTTCTATATATAAAAAATGAAATAAACATGGATGATAAAAAATTGTTTTATTCCTTACTTACCATTTGCATTCTTATGATCCAGGCAGCAAAAATTAAAAATAAGTAAATAAATAAAACCTGTTATCTTATTTCATAATTTCTTCATATTTAAATACCTTCTCTTTAAAGTAAACTCATAAATAATTAGCATGTCAGTATTTTCTCAAGATATAAATGACCAGTATCACAAAACACACCTCTGGTTCTCCCTTCAAGTCAGTAACACTAATACTGCCTTTGTACTTATTTTTCTGTAATGGAGGTCAAGCTTAAACCCATGGCTTATCTCTGAATCTGTCACCAATGATCCAGGGCAGATTCTACTAATAAATATCAGAGATTATTTCTATTCTTTAGCTCAGCAGACTAAAGTCAAGAATGGTGCTAGGACTTCAAATCCAAATCTTTTGTTGTCATCTAAAGTTTCAAAATTAACTCATGAATGCCACTAATGCTGAATTCTTTAATACTTATAGAATTATCTGCATCAGGTTTTAACTTAAGCAATTAAGGAATTTAGACCAGGAGTCAGCAATTTTTTTTCTTAAAAAAAGGCAAGACAGTAAATATTTTTTATCTCTGTTACAAGTACTCAACTCTGCCACTGTAGCATGAAAGCAGTCATAGACAATATTGTAAATGACTGAGTGCGGCTATGTTCCAAAAAAACTTTATTAAAACAAAAACAATGAATCAGATTTGGCTTGTGGGCTATAGTTTGCTAATTTCTTGACTATTAATCTCAAGATCATATTGTAGAGGCATACAGGGGGTCTTTGAGAAGAGAGAAAAAAGGTAAGAAGTAGGACCACAGTTATGAAACTACTAGTATGGTCAGCAGTTCTACTTAATTTCTCTGCTACTTGCAACCTAAGATGCTCTATTACGTACCTGAGGTTTTCCCAGGTTAAAACAGAATAAGAAGAAAACCTCAGCACTCCCTAGAGTACAGAAAAAGTGCTTCAAACACCCTAAAAGAATTGGCTTAAACATGACAACAGGAGAAAACTCAACCTCATGGCAAACATAGGTCAAAATATGTTGAACTCGCTCATGACAAGAATTTTTATTTACAGTGTAAGGAAATCTGTATTTTATTGCAAATATAATACATATTTATCATATACAAATTATTTTTGTATAAAAGGAAAGTGATTACTTACAATCATGGGAAGTTTTCGACTATCCCGATATAGGTTTGTATAACCAACATAGAGCAGAAGAGCAGTAATGCAGTACAGGAAGACAAAGACTGCAAACGTAACATAGAATTGTGCAGAAGAAGCATAATCTCCAACAAGGACTAACTTGTTCCAACTTATATTACACACATCTACTGGAGAAGCCTGAAATGATGCCTGATTCAACCTATTAAAAGAAAGGCACCAATAAATTATCTGGACTCCCCAACAGAGACAAAAATACATAGGCAGAATATTAAAATGACATTTAAAAAAATATTCCCCAAATACAGGACAAGGCAAAAGTAGGTTTATAGTTGTTTGCATGGAAAAATAACAATTAATAAATAATAATACAAGACAAAACTCTGTGCTTTATGTACTCATAACTGTAAACGTACTTTGCTCTATCCTGTAAATTAGAAACATTTTCCGTTTGAAATAAAAGGAAAAATTCAAATATTAAAATGAATTTAAGATTTTCATAATATATATACAAATTATACATTAATTCTAGTAACTGATTTGTGATAGATTTAATACAGACATTTACAAATTCAGATACTATCTTCTGCATTAAAACTGTAACATAGTAAGAGGGCTGATACAAAATAGTTTACAATTTGAGACATAATATTCCATTCTAAGAAAGAGACTGTGTGACTAGCACCAGGAGAAACAATTACAATAATTCACATTTTAATCCTGGATTTAATTACCTGCCAACTTCACCTTGTCTTTAATTTTCCCTATCCATAATTCACAAGAGTACTTATTGCTAAAGATGCAGTAAGAGTTCCTTGTACAGCAAATTTATAAGAGAAGAGTTGGGAGATGGAGAGGCAATGATACCAAGCACTTGCTAACTGACAGATCTTTAATGTAAGAATTAATTTAATCATTAAAATGACCTTAATAGGTAGTATTTCCAATATACTGAACAGAAAAACTGAGTCCTAGAGAGGTCAAGTAAGTAGTTAGAGTAAGTGAAAGGAGCTTCACACTATGGCTTAAACATAGGACACATTCAATAACTGTTCAATGAATATTAAAGTCAAATAGAAGAATTCACAACATATTCATTTTGGCCCTGGTCTGTTTTTGGTTCAGTGGTTAGAGGATCAGCCCGTGGACTGAAGGGTTGCAGGCTTGAACCCTGGCCCTGGTTGGGGCCAGTACAGGAGGCAACCAATTGATGTGTCTCTCTCACATTCATGTTCCTCTCTTTCTCCCCCTCCCTTCTACTCTCTCTAAAAATCAAAGGAAAAATATCCTCAGGTGAGGATTAACAACAAAAATTCATTTTAATTTGAGGGTAAGAAAATGAAGTTTTATGATAGGATAGGAACTCCATAGAAATTCATTTCACATAAATCCATGTCCTAAAATTATATAAAGAACACTATTATTTAGTAATGGCGAACACATGAGAAATTTGGATTTTTTTCATAAATTGTGTTTGCTTCCACATCATGACTTCTCACACTATGGTGATGGAACAGTCTGTTTTCTTATTAAATTTCTAATCCACTGTAGGATGATAGAATACAAATGTCAAGGCAATGTCATTTAATAATTTCTAAATGCTTACTCCCATTTTCTATAATTTATTTCACCATAGACTAGGGAAACAGTTGGCAGACAGACATTGGTCTATATACCACAGTTTGAGTATCAATGACCACTATTTACAAATGAGGATGCAATTAAAATTTTTTTATCCTCCAAGATTAATAAATTGCTGGAAATCTTAATGGGTCAACAAGAAAGTAAAAAGAGTTGTTAAACCATAAAAACAAACAATAACTCACCTGAATGGATAACCAAAAGTAGCTGTAATGGTTTTATTGTCAGGAATTTTAGGAGGACAACTCACTAGAATTTCTGTTTTGCCCTTAAAACCTCCACAGGTGGCAAAAGCAAAGATAGAAGCAACCTACATAAAGACAAAAAAAAAAAAAAAAAAGAGGGAAGGGGGAAGAAAAGCATTACTACACCCAAAACATGGCTCATTAAAACCTTAAATTATTATTAAAAACCTGCTCACAAACATCACAGAAATATATAACACTAGTGGCCTGGTGCACAAAATTCGTGCACATTAAAAGGTAATTAAAGATAGATACAAAGGCAGAGAAGCATCGAACAGATTGTCAAATTACAGCGGGAAGGTTGGGGAGAGGCGAGGGGGAGGAGGTAAGAGATCAACCGAAGGACTTGTATGCATGCATATAAGCATAACCAATGGAAACAAGACACTGGGGGGGGGGAGGAGGCCAGGGGAAGGTCAATGGGGGGGGGGGGGGAAAGGAGACATATGTACTACTATTTGTAATACTTTAAACAATAAAATAAAATTAAAAATAAATAAATAAATAAAAAGCAAAAAGAAAAAAAGGAATTAATTAGAGGAAATATTTTAATATTGCTATTTGCCCTTTCTCTATAATAGAAGTGTCAGAGATGAAAGAAAATTAGTAAAATGTGTACAAAAATCTCCCTCCTGTCAGAGCCTGGGGTGCGCCATGGGACCCAGGGTCAAGTCCCCGCCCACCCACGTGTGCCTTGAAATTGCCCAAGACCCAGCCAGCCCCACGCCCATCAAGTTCCGCAGGGCTGGGGGACGCAGCCTCAGATCCCCCATCAAGCCCCACTGGGTGGGGAGGGCACAGCCTCAGGTCCCCCAGCTCAGCGGGCACAACCTCAGGTCCCACGGCCCAGGTGCGAGGGTGAGACAACCATTTGCATATTAGCTCTTTATTATATAGGATTATAGAAAATATAAAAGTTCTTAACTATAAATTTAAACATAGATGGTGAAAAACATTAAAATATTTACTGTGCCTTGGCCAGGTGGCTCAGTTAATTGGAGCATCATCCTGTATACCAAAAGACTGTGGGTTTGATTCCTGGTTAGGGAACATACATAGGTTGTGGGTTCGATTCCTGATTGGGGCGTGTATGGGAGGCAACTGATTGGTGCTTTTCTTTCACAATGATGTTTCTCTCTCAAAATCAACTTAAAAATATCCTTGGGTGAGGATTAAAAAAATAAAAATAAAAATTTACTTGCAACTCTCAACAAATGTGATTTTATTTTCTCCTGAATATAACACAGAAAATTGTATACCAAACCACATATAAATTCATTTATTCCAGGGGTACCCATTAAATATGAGTATGAAATTCAGAGAAAGTCTTATTTATTGGTATGAAAATCTAAAGGGGTGAATTGGAGGTGTTTTCATTTGGAACCCAAGGGTAACTATAAAACCAAGAGATTGTATACAAAGAAGTGATGTTATTTCATGAGCTTATAAAACCTCACTGTGGATATTCTAGGTCTCAAAAGGTACTTGGAAATCTGTTTTCCTGATCAAGCCAAAAAACAAAACAAAAAAGTAATAATGCTCTCGTAAAGGAAAAAATTGGAAGCATCCTAAACATTGACAGGGTACCAAATAAATTAGAATCCATTTAAACAATGAAACCTTATGTAGTCATTAAAATGTTAGGAAATATCTAATTATATAGAAAAATGGTCATTACATATAAAGTTTATAAAAACAATACATTGTGTATGTGTCTACATCTATGTATTCACACACAACAAAAACTAAACAGGTTATACATTAAAATTTTAACAGTAGTCACTTCTGAACAAAAGATAAAAGATAATTCCTAGGACCTCTATCTCCAATGCTGGCTTCACAGCTGCTATGCATTCTAGAGCCACAGAAGCCGGTCCTACTCTAGCCAGGCTTCTGGTTGAGAATATAGACCAGGCAACACCTGGATTTCAGTCTATGAAGGCCTTGAGCAGAGAAGGAGGTGTTGAGGGCACTTCTAATCTGAAATCACCATAATCCAAGTGTAAAATTTATGATTCCCCAGAACCCTGTCACTGCCACTTCCGAAGATACTTGCCACTTGCATGCCCATTGCAGCTGCTGGCACTCCTGTACAACAACTTGCATGACATGGTCAGAGCCAAGCCTCACAGTCGGCTAGCTGAGGGTTGATCACACACATGAACAGGCCAACAGCAATCAAGACCAAATTACAACAGGAGAGTTCATATAATAGATAAAACGGACATTCCTGGAGTATTCAGCTCAGGAGATCAAGAAGACTGCACCACTGAGTCCCACAGGACATTTACTACAGAAGGCCACCCCACAAAGACTGGGAGGGAAAGCAATTCTACCTAATACATAGAAACAAACACAAAGAGACAGCTAAAATGGGGAGACAAACAACCCCAAATGAAAGAAAGGGAAGAATCTCCATAAAAATGAAATGGATGAAAGCAATTTATCTGATGACAGAGTTCAAAGTAATGGTTATAAAGATGTTCAAGGAATTTAGTGAGAATTACAAGGCAATTAGTGGGAATTATGATAGCATGAACAAGGAAATAGAAACCATGAACAAGAACAAGTCAGAAATGAAGACTACCATGTCTGACATCAAGAATACACAGGAAGGAAAAAAATACATGGGAAGGAATTAAAAGTAGATTAAATGAAGTGGAAGCTCAAATCAGTGAATGGAGAACAAAGCAGAAAAACCCCTCTATTAGAGCAGCAAAAATTAAAAGAATTTAAAACCAGGATAGCTTAAGGGATCTTTGGGACACCATGAAACGTAACAACATTTTGCATCACAGGGGAAACAGAAGGAGAAGCAAGAAATAGAAAACTTGTTTAAAGAGATAATGACAAGAACACTTCCCTCAGTGGGTGAAGGAAAAAGTAACATAAGTGCAGGAAGCACTGAGGGTCCCAAACAAGATGAACCTCATGGGACCCATACCAAGACACATTATAATTGAAGTGACAAACATTAAAGACAAATAAAGAACCTTAAAGGTAGCAAGAGAGAGACAGAAAGTTAGCTACAAAGGAGTTCCCATTAGACTGTCAGCTGATTTCCCAACAAAAACATTTCAGGCCAGAAGGAATTGGCATGAAATATTCAAAGCAATGAAAAGCAAGGAGCTGAATCTAAGACTACTCTACCCAGGAAGGCTATCATTTAAAATTGAAGGCGAAATAAAGAGCTTCCTAGACAAAAAAGACTAAAAGAGTACATTACCACTAAACCAATGTTGCAAGAAATGTTAAAGGGACTGCTTTAAGAAAAAGAGGATTTTGGAGAGGAAGATGGGTATAAAGAAGAAAATGGCAATAAATAAGTACCTTTCAATAATAACCTTAAATGTAAATGGGTTAAATGCTCCAATCAAAAGACAAAGGGTACCTGAATAAGAAAATATGTATATATGTCATATGCGTGTGTGTGTGTGTGTGTGTGTGTGTATAGTATTTATAAGAGACTTGCTTCAAAGCAAAAGATTCACACAACCCAAAAGTGAAAGGATGAAAAAATATATTCCATACAGATGAAAATGGAAAGAAAAAAGCAGGAGTAGCAATACTCATATCTGACATAATAGACTTCAAAACAAAGGCCCATAAAAGAGACAAAGAAGGTTACTACATAATATTAAAGGGATCGATACAACAAGAAAATATAACACTGGCAAATATAGAAGCATCTAAAAATATAAAGAATATTCTTGGTGGACTTTAGAAAGAAATTGACAGCAATATAGTCATAGTAAGGGAACGTTAGCACCCTGCTGACATCACTGGATAGATCTGGAAGAAAAATCAAGAAGAAAACAGAGGCCTTCAACAACACACCAGATCAGGGGGATTAATTGATAATCACAGATCATTTCATCCCAAAGCTGCAGAATATACATTTTTCTCAAGTGTACCTGGAACATTCTAAAAAATAGACATGTTAGGACACAAAATAATTCTTAACAAACTGAAGAAGACGGAAATCTTATCAAGCATCTTCTCGGATCATAATGGCATGAAACTAAAAATCAACTATAATAAAAACACAAAAAAACATTCAAATATATGGAGGCTAAATAGCATGTTATTAAACAATGAATTGGTTACCAATGAGATCAAGGAAAAAAACAGAAACTTCCTGGAAACAAATGAAAACAAACACACAACCACCCCAAATCTCTGGGACACAGCTAAATCAATCCCGAGAGGAAAGTTCATAGCATTGCAGGCCTACCTCAAGAAACAAGAAAAAGCTCAAATAAACAATCTAACCCTACGACAAAAAGAAAACAAGAAAAGCCCAAAGTAGAAGGAAGGAAAAATAAAGATCGGAGCGGAAATAACTGACAGACTAAACACAAACAATACAAAGATCAGTGAAACCATGACTAGAAAAGATAAACAAGATTGATGAACCTTTAGCCTGACTCATCAAGAAACAAAGAGGAACCAAATAAATAAAATCAGAAATGAAAGAGGCGAAGTAACAACTGACATCACAGAACTAGAAAGCATTGTAAGAAAATACTTTAAATAACTATATGCCAACAAATTGGACAACATGGGCAAAATGGACAAACTCCTAGAAACATATAATCTTACAAAACTCAATCAGGAAGAACCAGAAAACCTGAATAGGCCGATAACAAGAAATGAAGAAGTAATCAAAACACTCCCAATAAACAAAAGTCATAGACCGATGTCTTCACAGGTGAGTTTTACCAAACATTCTAAGAACAGATACCTAACCTCCTCAAACTATTGTAAAAAAAAACCTGAAAAGACTTCCAAGCTCTTTTTAAAAAGCCAGCATTATTCTAATTCCAAAACCAGATAAAGACACTACAAAGAAAGAAAATTACAGCAAATATCCTTGATGATTATAGATGCTAAAATCTTCAACAAAATATTAGCAAATTGGATCCATCAATACATCAAAAAGATCATACATCATATACAAAGGGTTACTCCAGGAATGGAAGGCTGGCACAATATTCACAAATCGATGAATGTGATACGTCACAAACAAAACGAAGAATCAAAATTACATGATCATATCAGTAGGTGCAAATTTGATAAAATCTGGCACCATTTATGATAAATATTCTCAGCAAAGTGGGAATATAGGGATCATACCTCAACATAATAATGACCATATATGACAAACCTACAGCCAACATCATACTCAACTGGCAAAAACTACAAGTGCTTTCCTTAAGATCATGAACAAGACAGGTGTCTGCTTTCACCATTCTTATTCAATATAGCACTGGAAATCCTAACCACAGCGATTAGACAAGAAAAAAAATAAAAGGCATCAAAACCGGAAAGGAGGCTATAAAACTGTCATTATTTGCAGATGGCATGATACTGTACATAGAAAACTCTACAGAATACACCAAAAAACTGCTAGATTTAATAAATGAATTTGGCAAAGTGCTACTGGATACAAATGAACACCCATGAATTGATGTCATTTTTATACACCAATAATGAACTGTCAGAAAGAGAAACTAAAAAAAAATCCCATTTACCATGGCAACAACAAAAAATAAGATACCTAGGAATATACTTAACCAAGGAGATAAAAGACCTGTACTCAGAAAACTACAGGACACTGAAAAAACGAAATGGGAAGACATGAACAAATGGAAGCATATGCAGTGTTCATGGATTGAAGAATTAACACCATTAAAATGTCCATACTACACAAAGCAATCTGCAGATTCAACACAATCTCTATTAAAATGCTAATGGTGTATTTCACAGATCT